TTTCAATTAATCGTTTGGTTGCATTAAAAAAATCTCTCTCTCTTTCCCCCCAACCAACTAACCGATAATGAGAATAGTTGCCAGCTATCCTCATAATCGATTATTATCGATTTAATTGATTCGTTGTTGCAGCCCTAAACACTTTAAAAAGGTTGCTTTTGTGCCCAGCACATGCACATCGCAATATGTACAATTTTTCTTGACGAAAAATCACATACATAGAGTTGAGTTCCTTCAAAAAAGAGATGAGAAAATGTCCTGCTCCTTTAATTTACCTCGTCACTGCGGTCGAAAACGAACATCGATTAGACACCACAAACCAGTAGAAAATTAATTGAACATTCTGAAAACAAAACATTTTGAACAAAAAGTTACTGGTATATGCCCATCTTTGCTGTGCTGTACTACCAAGCTGTATATTTAATTATGATAATACACTAATACTGAATGGCTGACCCATGCAAGTAAGACATAATCACAGTGATCCAGTGATTTACATCAAGCTGATAACATTTACATGTTTACGTCTGTGGGTCTTATTAAGAACAGATTACAAAGGAGAGCGCGTCTTTGATGCCTCCTCCCCTTTTGTTGTGTGTTTTTGCTTTCCTGTTATTTCCTCTTTGTACAGTACCTAAGTACAATGAAGTATATCACTTGTCTGTAGTCCCAAGAGGCCGGCATGCAATAGATCCAAGGTCTGTCAAGTTGTTTTGTGCCATTCAGAGCATTTAAACATTGTGGCCCGCAGGAACTGTACATGCTGAGATAAAGGACATATCCTGATAATAAGGGCATAGCCATGGCACCTGAGAACATATTTTACCGGCAGGGCGAATCTTGACTCAGGGCATTAGTGGAATCACAGTAAAGCACCAACTCATAAACTGGCTTAGAGTGAATGGCGTCCAGCAAACAGCTTGTGCTGCAATGTTTTACTACATTAATCTGAACTACACGAACAGAGGGGTCACGGCTCAAGGTAGAGAGGAGCTGCACTTTATTAACACTCGCTTGCTGGTATACCGTCAGTGGGCGAAAGCCTCCCTCCCTTCAGCTGAATAATTTACTAAGTGCAGTGTTACATCAAAATGAGACACGCGATGTTTGTGACCTCAGAGAAATGAGGAGTGTAAAAGTATACAGTGAATCAACAAAATATAACTAGTCATAGAGACTATGTAACTAACTGTAGCATCCTAAGTAGCAAACTCAAACTCATCATAGGTTTCCTCTTTTATAATAGAATACATAGCCCGATATGGACAGAAATATTATTTACATATTGCAACTCTAATTTTCAGTCTTGATTAACATTAAAAAATGTACTTCACTTTAGCTGCCACTGCTTAATTTTGACATCCCTTTGCCCTCAACCCCGCCCCCCTTCTGAGTTGTTCCTCATTTTGCTCTAATATATACATTTCTAGTATCAAATTTACACTTTTATTGTTAAAACTAGAAAGTTCTAAACTTTGTATCCCATCTTCAAAATTGTGTTTGGTTTTCCCAAATGCTAGTTTAAAGGAAAAGGAGGGATTAAAAAAGCAGCAGTGGGTTTAACAAATCATTTATTGTACCTGAATTCTTCATTGTCGGGGTCACTGTGTGGGTGGCAGGTCTTTTTCATGCATGCATTGCAGAGGTGTTGCTCTTTGCCATCTTTGAAAATGAAAGTGGAAGTTCACCCTAGAATTTCTCAATGAACAGTAATCTGTCATATAACACGTGCAATTTGATAAATGCATAGGACCGTGTCCAGTTGCCTAGCAATCAGGTAAGGAAAACTGCCGGCTATTACCAGTGACACCATGCAGCTCAAGGTGTCACTCAGCCCGCGCCATGCTATCTACGTCTTTGGCAGCATCAGAGCACAGGGGAAGCGCATTCAAACGGTTTCCATTCTGGCTTTGCCATCACAAGATGTTGATAGCATGAGTGGGGTTGAGTGTTGCTGGTAATAACTGGCAGTTTTCCAGGGCTGATTGCTGGACGAAGGGAGGGAGCACGAACAGACGTTTAACATGGTGTTATGTGTTTATCAAGGTACATGTGTTGTACGGCTGTTTAATGCTATTCTAGAGTGACTTCAACTTTAAGTGGAGTGGTATGTTTTTGTATGAATGTATAATATTGACAGCCTGCTTTGTATCGCTGGTGCTTTATTGAGTGCCTTGCTTGTGGCATTTGATCATTTGTGTCTGTAGCTGCTACAGTTTTCAGAGCTGTGTTGGCAAAGGAATCTCTTTTCATTGTGATAGTTCAGCTGCTGGGTCATTTTTTATGTATTCTTTTTCCCCCTATTGATCTCAACAAAATACCTCATTTATCAGACAATTCAATTGAAGGGTTATTGGGCAGAAGGAAGTAACCTGTCACCATTCACAGTGATAGGAAATTATGGACACTCCAAAGTATAATAACGTCTTTTATTGACGTGTCATGCAACAATACACTTATTGCAACATTTCGTGGTCACACAGGATGCCCTTCATCAGGCAGAACTTGTTGCATGACACGTCCATAAAAGACGTTATTCTACTTTGGAGTGCCGGTGTCCATAATTTCCTATACTCTATTCAGGCGGTGGACATCCGTCGACTACTGATGCACCCAACCTATCATTACGGACTAAGCGGTAAGGAGTGCAATGGGTACACTGACTGTTACCATTCACAGTGATAGCCACACCTGACTGAGAGCACCTGGGATGAATGTCCAGATAATGGAGCAGGCCGTATCACCAGCCATGTGAAAACCACCCCTCATGGGACTGCATCTTTACATTCATGCTGTTCGATGACTAAGCAGATATCTCTTAAAGGAGAAGTATTGGGAGAGTAAAATATACTGTTCCCAATACTTCGAGCTGTCAGGGGACACTGGCACAGTGACTCTATATTCAGAGAGCTGAGCAATCAAATAACCCCTGATCACTCAGCTCACGGTCTTCTCCCTACAAAGGACAATGGCTTTCAGTCACCGCTCCCCGCAGGGATTTCCCCCTCCCCTCTCTGTTCCTCCAGTGCTTATTGGAAGGACAGACAGGGAGGCAGCAGGCACAGCTAGTTCTGGCTCTAGAGAGGCAGAGCCAGCTGTTAGGCATTTGGGTGGATCCTGACAATTATATCAGGATCTTTCCTGCCTGTGGCACTGCCCTGTCCATATTTAGCAGGCAGTAGCCCGCTATATGCTCGCTCACAGAAGTACATTTCTAAATCCACTCCTATGACCCAAAGGAGAAGTCAAGCCAAAGGAAAGGTTTAGTGTTACTTTCCTTTTAGGAGTCTCATGCAATTTGTGGTCCATTCATGGCCCAGCTATTGGCAAATGAACACTAAAGATGTAAAGAAAAAACACAATTTAACACAGTTGAAGATGGAATAATTACATTTATTGTTACATACAGCTGGCATAAGTATCTAAACCTATGTTGATATCCAACATCTGTCATCAGCACTCAGACTGAGAGAAGGGGGGTATAGCATTAGAAGCCAATCAGACTCTAATGCAGGCACATGCGTTGACATGAAACAGGCTGACGGAAGGTGATAGCAGAGTTAAGGACTAATCGGTATGTTGCTGGTCCTTCATTTCCCAGTCAGCAGTTTGTTGGCGAGGAGATGGAATCACGGTATTCTTTAACTCCAACAGAGAAAATGGTGTCACCTTCCTGCCTGTGATTGCCTAGCAGATATGTATGAAGCACAAAGTGTCTGGACAAAAAGTTTTGGGGAAGATGAGACAGTTTACTTTTTTAAATTTAGCTGTTTGAATAGAGTTCAGCTTTAATCTGCCCATTCCCATTGTTTGTTTGTTTTAGCTGACATTTTATCAGTGTAGGTGTATAGGAATTAGCGAGTAAAGAATGAGCCCACTCAGAAGTAATCAGTGGATGATGGGCGGACGCACCGGCTGACTTCTTGGTCACTACATTAGCTCTGCCCTCCCAGCATTCTATGTATCTGCACTTACCTGTGTTAGGAGGATGTGTTGACAGGAACCTCCATTCCCAATAAAAGCCCTTAGAACTTCCTTCGAGAGATTAAAAAACTGACATGAACTTGTTAGACCAGTGCAAGTCGACGCACCACACAGATGTGAATTGGCACCATTGAAAACAATGGCATATGCTTTACAACGCATGTGTGTGGACAGGCACTTTAATCTGCTTTCTTTTCAACAAGGCCCTTTCCAGGTGTTCCCACTCTCTGGACATTCTTTGTAATATTGATTCAATTACAGACCCAGAGGTGAGAACGGAACTATCAGTTGTGGCTGGACTGTCTCGATAAGGAACCAACAGAACACAAAATTCTATTGGTAAAATTAGAAAAGCTCAGCAAAAAGATAGTAGCCAGCTGATCCTTTGCCAATCTCATGGGATATATTATACTTATACTATTATAAGGTGGGGGGCACCTGGATTATTTATTAAGGTAATGAGCAGAGTGCAGTAGCCCATAGCAGCCATTCAGAAGTCATTTTCCATTGACATAACCACCCTTAGACTGTTATAGCTTTCTTATTTTCCAATTCGTAAAGGGAATGAAATGCATTTACACTGGTTTCATTTAATCCTGGCAAACATTTAACATCAGTCCAAAACATACAAAGAAATGACTGTTTTGATAGTTTGGTTGGAAGGAGTTAAAATTCCTTCAGCATCATTGTGCCAGTGGTGTGGACAGGCTGCTTCTTCCTGTCAGTAGGCCACCTGTCGCAGAGACCCCCCCCTCCCCCCCCCCTTCTCCCCACCATCCCTCTAGCTATCTCTCTCCCTGCTGATCAGAGCAGGGCCTTGCTAGCGTCGCTAGCATGAATTATCCAGCCGGAATCTCTGCTCTCAACCTCCAGCAGCATCCTCATTGCAGCACACACTGCACAGTCCCACCTTCAGTAAATTAAAATTGCTGCATGACATGCACAGGGGGATAGATACATCAGCAATTTTGCCTTTTTTTAATTTATTTCGTATATTCTAATATGTTCCCAGAATCCATGTCACCGCTCCTTATATGGCAATGATTTTTTCCTCTTTGCGTTTCCATGACAACAAGAGCACTGCACCATTCATTAGCTCAGGACCGAACTGCATCCCTACGCCGCCTTTTGCATCTCTCTCCGTGCCGTTCTGCACCATCCCACTCCCCTCCTGTGTGCTGCCGTTGGAGGAGGGGGGAAAAAAAAACGAGGACTGGGGACAGAAATACAAATTTCAAAGCCCTCTGCATCCTCACCGGGGATAGAAGAGCTAGCTGTGAAGTCACAGGGAAGCAGAGAGAGAGGAGCTAGAGAGGGAGGGACGTGTTTGTAAGCCAAGCATCACTGTATGCTCTGATAAAGCCCACGGTGCTGACTCCTGGGAGGTCAATATTGCTAGCTGGACTTGTGAGGGAAAAAAAGAACAACTGCTTATTGGTGACTGAGACCCTTACTTGCTTTAGAAGAAGAGGTTATCCATGAGCTTGGATTGCCAGAGACTGCTCTACCTTCTACCAACGTAAGTATAATTATCACATGAATTACGGGGGGGGGGGCTACATGCGAAGCGGAGTCCTTCTCTTGGAGGATGCCCACCTTAGTACTGTAAGCATGAATGAAAGAAGTGTTTACCTTGGACGTATGTTGCTTTGCTGTCAATGAATTCTCTTCCTGCGGTGGTAAAAGAATTCATCATTTATCTTCTGTACAGTGTTGTTTCTCTTCCCTCATTACTCTACTTATAAGCCCAGCATGAATTTATCTGTAAGCTTCCTGGTAATGGAAGTCATCAAGAGACAGGAAGCTTCTCGGCAGCTCCATGCTCCCGAGGACCAGAATGCACTGGGGTGCGGCACACAGGAGTCTGGACTCCTGTCAACAGGCTTGATTTGTTATCATCAGCCATCACTTGGTCCTCGTGCCAAACACTTTGGTAAAAGCCACGGTCTCTAATTTTTATTATTATTCTTTCTTCATCAGACACCTATTAAGGCCTTGATCTGGAACTCTCCCTTTGGTCATAAATATGGTAAACGTCGTTAACATGGTTAACATTGGGAAGCTATCCTATGCGGCGTAGAAGGCTTCCTTTAATCTTTTTACATTTTTCGAAGGCTAAACCAGCGTTTTGTCATTTGGTATAAAGACCCAGCATGCAATATGGCTTTTATCCATTCTTGCACAGATTTTAAGCCATTGTATCCATCAAATCTTATCTGTTTGTACAGAAGGCCCAGCAGCCATTTTGTTGTCCGTTGAGAAAGGGGCCACTCGGACCACCATGGTTTGAAATCATTTTGGATGGAAAGCACGTTATCCGAAATTATCCTTTTAATTGTCTACCAGGAGCGTGTCTTTTTATTTCTCTCTCTGTTTGTCTGTGCACTGCAGCAGTCATCATTTACTTTCACCACCGTTGATGGAGGCAGCCATTTTAATTGACCTTTGACCTCAGTGATGTTGCTCGTCAAAGGCCTCTGTAGGCGGCCTTCTAACACTGGAATATTGACATCTATCCTGCTTATCAAGGGCTAGTTTTTCTTCTGCTTCTCCAGCTGAGAAAAATGGCTGCTCTCAATCACTTTACATTATTGTCTCAGAAAAACAAATGAACGGAAATCTGTCCAAAAGAAAAAAAAAATGTGTGTGTGTGTGTGACCGCAGATGGACGCTGAGCATCTCTTATTTTGGGATAGCTTAATACTTACATGGCAGTGACATCACTAGCTGTGAAGAAGAATATTTCCTGCTTTACTGCCTGTAACTGGTATGCAGCACAGGAGTCAGAGAATGGCAGCTTCTGCCTGAGGCTTCTCACACTACTTTTTTTGCTTTTTTGCAGTTCTGCTAAGTAATGATATAGAATATATGTTGCCTATGGGGTAGATACTGAGCTGTAGATCTTTCTATGTTTACAAGCATTAAAGAAGGTCTTTCAACCTCCGACCAGGTATCATCATTGCTTGGAAGGTGATGAGGCTATTAATAAACTAGTAACCTCCCCAAGCCACTGTGTACCTCATGCCTCAGAGAGCACGCTAACTTCTGATGCACATCGGCATAGCTCACTGAGTATTGAGCCATGTTTGGCCTCATGCCTAGCAGAGCCTGGAAGAACAGTTTCCCATAGCAACCTAGGACGGATTAGAACATCATAGGCAGGTTCTGTTTTCTTGGGTTTTTTTAGGTGCTGGTTTATCATGTCCATTTTGTTTAGGTGATTTTCTTTACTCTCAGCCTATCACTAACAAAATGATGGTCTTGTGGCTGAAATAGATTTTTTTTTTAAGTTACTGATAAATCAGTGATCGTTTTCTGCTGCCATAATTCACTCTCCACAAGCTGGAGTGCTTCTTCCTCCTTTATACTCCATTTGTGTCGTATGAAGCTTGCCAAGATTATATGATTTCTTGGCATGTAAGCACAGAACATACCCTGGCAGAAATAGTTTTCCTGGATTGATTTCCTTTACTTGCTCATTATGTTGTATATAGATCAAGGATAGGGAACCTCGGGACTCCAGCTGTTGAGAAACTACAAGTCCCAGAGGCATTGACATGATGGGATCTGTAGTTACACCACAAGTGGAAGGCAGAGGTTGCTTATCCTTTAGATAGATAGATAGATAGATAGATAGATAGATAGATAGATAGATAGAAGGATAGATAGATAGAAGGATCGATCTGGTTATAGATATGGTTTCTGTAAAACTGTGTGCAGAAGCTGATCTTGTGATTCACACACTGCTGTTACATTCTATAGCTTTAGGGTGACACCACTTTTCAGAGATTGCAGCTCTGGGTATTGCTTTGTCATCATCCATCCTCTTGCTTGCCCAATGGACTATCAATGAGCTTCGTTCCATTGGTGAGATCCTCCACAGTCCCCCTTTCCCAGTAAACCTGCCTAAACACCTTTTTATATGCATGTGTCTAAGAGATCAACTAAAAGGTAAATGATCTTGTTAAAGTCTATGGTTTATAATTCTATATATACATAAGGGCTTCCCTATTTAGGAATTACTTACGTAGCCTTTGTTGCCTGCTTAGAAGTATTGGATGGCCATTGTGTTATATGTTGCCTATATTTAAAGGCAAGTTGTCCAGGCAAGGTTTGTTCTTGGTAGCTAGAGATTGTATGCCCCTCGCCTAGGTTGGCAGAACTCATGGATGTCTGATTTGAGGGCATTTTCAGGGATGTTATATGTTCTGCTGAAGTTCCTAGCTATTAATGGGGGAATGTCTTCCCACTAATGAGGGGCGGCCTGTTTGTAGTGTCAAAACCCACTGCTGCTCACCTGATTGATTCAAAAAGCACACACACAGTTACCACCTTCCTTCCCTTTTCAGAGGAGGAAAAGGATTAGCCGGGGTACACAGAATTGTAAGAGATGCCGAAAGTGCTCATTATCACATCCGAGGGGGGAGCCCTTCATCCTCACTCAAGCTTTGCATTAGGCCATTGGATTGAGATAGGATGAGGGCATTTATGGCTGGCCTTGATCTTTGAACCCCCAGGGTCATCATAGGTTAATTGTGTTCCTAATGGATTTAGCATTCTTAAATTGAATAGAAACTCAAAACAACATTTAAGACGATGCCACTTCCCAGTTCTTAGATGTGGTGGTTACATTTAATTTTTACTTTTCAGGCTAGTACAAAAAAATACCTGTTGATCTTGCCAAAAGTTCAGTGTTCTTGTCTGAAAAGATAGCTCAATTATCCTTCTCTATCTTGTGTATACTACTGGTCCCATAAATCCACCATCTAATGGAGATGAAAAGGGGCAGACATGTTTGAAGTCCAGTCTGTGTGACAACCCACAGAGACGAAAGTGTAGACGGAATGAACAGGAAATGTGTTATTTGAAGGATCGGCAGAAGCTTATAACTCTAGTTCTAATAATAACTAAAGGTTAAAGAATTGGGAGGGGGAGCCTGAATCAAAGAAAACTAATGTAGGCACATCATCAAATGACTGGTAGATTGCAATATATAACATTTTTGTTTCTGGGTTTATATCTGCTTTAAACCACTCTGGTTAGGTGAAGAATACACATAGGGCTGTATACATCAAGGTGTCTGAAAGAGCTTTGTTGTCCATAACAATCAGGTTCTCCTGTGGTTACTCTGGGGAAAAGCAGATATACCTTTGTTTAATCTGGCTCTACACTAGTGGGTTCCTTACGTGGCCACTGCTTGCACGGCAATTTTTGGCGTGACTCCTTCAACAAAAGTCAATTGTGTAATCAATTTTTTTTTGAAGCTGGCAGGGTCACCCACTGTTTCTATACATTGGCCGAAGTGCTACCATTGTATGGCCAGCTTTACAACAGCTGATCAGATAAAACCCTGCCATATACAAGAGGTGTTCCATAACATGTTGACAATCTCCATCCACTCATGTGAAATAAACATAAAAATATAACAGCTTATCTACGTATTGGGCAATTAGAGTACCTGGTGCGATTTAATATATAGAAGCCGTGCTCGGAGGTCTACATCTTCGTAATTAAATCCAGTGAAGTTGTTGTACTATTCTGATTCAAGCTGGATGTAATTTCCAGTAAGTGACTCTGATTTTACAATGCCCATAAGATACATTCATCTGTGCTCTAGGCTGATCTGCTCTCTATAACGATTGCTGCATACAGGAACCCCCAGTCTGTCTGAGAGGTCACGTGACATGCACAGACGTGGGAATAGAAGATCAGAAAAGATGCCGTTACACTGGTTAGGTAGTGAGAAATAAATCAGGTCCTTTCTGTCTTGTGTGTTTTACATCAAGCCAGACTTCCCAGCTCCTTGACTTGTCTTTCCAGTATTTGTTGCATTTTTAGCCTCTTCATCTGCTTTTCACAGAGTACATAGATCCATTCATATCGGTCCCTGCCTCCCCAAAGAGTTTACAATCTGATGTCCCAGCCGCACACACTAGGGGCAACTTTTAAAAGAAATCTAATTAGCCTAACAGTATGATTTCCGGTTATGGGAGGAGACCTGGAGGAAAGCCATGGATACGTGAGAAGAACATACAAGCTCCTACTACATGGGATTTAAACCCAGGATCCCAGAGCTGCTAGCCAAAAAGCTTCACACACTTAGCCCCTGTACTGCCCCCGAGGATAACTTCAGGTCACTGGCTGGAAATCAACCCTCTCCATGGCGAAGAAAACACTTCATTCATCTACCAATAATAATATGAGTTGAAGCTTTCAAAATTAGGAACTGTATGTGACTCTTTTTCATCTAATCATAGCTGTTAACCTGGGGAGGAAGGCTGGGCAGCACGGATCCTGCAAACCTCCCACTGACTTTCAATGATCTTAGAGAAGCCATGGTATATTATTAGTAAATACCTATTCAGGTTTATTTTATTATTGCAGTGTTTACATTGTAACATAATGCCCAATTGTATTGTATTTATTTATTATAGGCTTGCTTTACCATATGATATGCTTAGATTTGTAGAGTTTCCCTCTATTGCCTATTTTACTGCATTCTCTTCATCTTCCTAATTA